CTAGAATATATTTAAACAACAATCACAAAATTCTATACAAAAATGTGTACAAAAAATCTGCATATATAAATGCACAAAGGTAGCTGAAAATGGTGAAATTGATGATGATCTCCGGAATGTTCTACCGTTTCGATACTATTCTTCTTCCGAATGTGGATGAAAGCCTTATGAAATAACATGCAATAACAGTATTATGTGAAGAATCTCTGGTACATACAAAAAATCAATAAAAATATTTTTTCTTTTTTCCTCAAACCTTACATACAGCGACTCTTGGTCTGTTATTTCAACAGGTACATATCAATAATCATCAATTTTCACTGATGTATCTATAAAATGTAACAATGAAATATAACACATCATCGTAATCTGTGCAAAAATAGCCACCATTAATTTATACAAACTCTACAATGTCGAGGGTATACAGTCACCATAATATAGTTGCAAGAGATTCTCTGAAAGAACGTTCCTAGGGCAAAGTGCTTGTATAATGCCTTGCTATGTAAATGTTCTCACAAAACTTTCAATAGTAGGTTGCCAATTTATAAGAGTACAATACAAGGTTGCCATCTTGCAGGAATTACAATGCAAGGTTGCCAATTTATGGGAACAAGGTTTCCAATTTACAGGAATTACAATACAAAGTTGCAAACTTACAGGTATCACTAAACAAAGTTGCCAGTTTACAGGAATTACAAAACCAGGTTGCCAGCTTACAGGAATACAACACAAGGTTGCCATTTTACAGAAATTACAATACGCAGTTACGAATTTACAGGAATTACACAACAAAGTTGCCAGTTTACAAACAAAAATGACTACACTACATCTTTAGAAATAGCAAGCTAAATCCAGAGATGCATTTAGACCTGACGGATAGCAAGTATTAAGTTTGAAAATCCAGTACGCCTCCCTGCGGAGTAAAACCTGACGTATGTTTTTCCTACAGTAACTCTCTGGCTTGACCACCTCCAGCACAACAAATTTAAAATCATCATATCTGTGTCCCTTCGACACAAAATGATCCACAAGTGGTGCTTCTGCATGTTGATGCTTAATCTTGGACTTTTGTTCAAGGATGCGAGTCTTGACTGATAGCATGGACTCCCCAATGTATTTTAACCCTGTTATATTTCATTGTTACATTTTATAGATACATCGGTGAAAATTAATGCACTTGTTGATACGTACCTGTTGAAATAACAGACCAAGAGTCACTGTATGTAAGGTTTGAGGGGAAATTTTTTTTTATTGATTTGTTTGTATGTACATGTACCAGAGATTCTTCACATAATACTGTTATTGCATATTATTTCATAAGGCTTTCATCCACATTCGGAAGAAGAATAGTATCGAAACGGTAGAACATTCCGGAGATCATCATCAATTTCACCATTTTCAGCTACCTTTGTGCATTTATATATGCAGATTTTTTGTACACATTTTTGTATAGAATTTTGTGATTGTTGTTTAAATATATTCTAGCGCAGTTACTTCACAGTTAGTAACACCCTGTCAAGAGTTGGGAGTTGGATCCCCAACCCCATCATCCCATGGGCTCATGCACAGGACCTCTGTCTTTGATGAATTTAATTTCAGTTGACTCTGCTTTAAACAACCAGCCACAACATCCAAACCCTTGGCTAAAACATCTGGGGCAGCATCTGGCTAGCCATCCAACAACAGATATAGCTGGGTGTCATCAGTGTACTGGTGACAATCCAGCCTGAAATACCGTGCCAACTGGGCAAGGTGGCGCATAGAGATGTTGAATAACATGGGAGAGAGGATCACTCCCTGAGAGACGCCGCATACCAGGGGGTAATGCAGTGAAACCCTCTCCCCTAGCACCATCCTTTATCCCCGACCATGGAGAAATGAGACCAGCTACTGCAAGGCTGTCCCACATACCACCACGTCGGCAAGGTGGTGGGACCATAAGTTCATAATCGACCATGTCAAACACTGCTGTCAGATCAAGTAATAACAGCAGTGCCAACCCTCCTCAGTCCAGGTATCTACGGAGATCATCCGTGAGGGCGACCAATGCCATCTCCATCCCATAGCCAGGGTGGAAGCTGGACTGGAATGGGTCCAGGATAGAGGAATCTTCCAGGAAAGCCTTGAGCTACTCTGCTGTCACTCTCTCAACTACCTTATCAAGAAATGGAAGATTCAAAACTTGGCGGTAATTGGCAGAATCAGTAGGATCCAGGGATTTTTTTTAAAGAGTGGTCTCACAACTGCCTCCTTCAAATCCTCAGGAAAGGTCCCTGAGCTCAGAGACAAGTTGATAATATCTGCCGGAGGGGGCCGTATTTCACCACCGCTGGCTTTCACCAGCCATGGTGGACATGGGTCCAGGAGGCAAGTAGTGGGCTTCACAGCACCCATGGTCCTGTCAACCTCATCTTGGGAGAGTTGGCTGAAAGTGGTTTATTACTGGGCCTGAAGACAGCCAAGGAACCTCCAGTTCTCATACTATATCGATATTAGCTGGCAGGTCTTGGTGGAGCAACAAGATGTTATCCGCAAAATAGTTCTTAAAAGCCTCACAGCTAACAGCCACATTCCTGTCTTTTTGAGTACCCTGTGAAAGGGACCTTAATGACCTAACTAACCTCTATATAATAATCCTCTTAGCGTATTGGCCGTTTCCAGCTCTCCCATTGGCTGTGCAATGCGTTTCATCAGCCATTGGCCCATCAGCTGCCACTCAAGAGTACTTGCATGCCATTGGCTGGGTGCTGGGTCTGGTCCTCTTCCCTGCCCAGTTAAGCCACTGTTCCCTGTCAGAATAACTAGCAAACAGCTGTCTCTCCCGACGAAGACACTTCTCCTTCTTGGCTCCTCCGTGGGACTAACTTTTCCCTCAGTGGTTGTTGGTAGGCAACCAAGCTTGGTTCTGTCAGTAAAAAGACAAAGGAAGGAAACCCTTTCCAGGGCCTTTGTGAGGAACTCATTGGGGCCAGTCCTGACTAGGGTTGCCAACTACAGGCTGGGAAATTCCTGGAGACTTGAGGGGTGGAGCCTGGGTCATTATACCCTGCTGAGGGCGCCACAGCAAAGTGACGCTGAGTGCCCATGGCCTTGGCACTCTCCCAGAGCCTCTTTCCTGAGCTCGTTGTATTTATTTCCACAACGGGCCTTATTCCTAGTTCTAAATAATTGAGCTGGGCGGGAGCTTGCAGACGCAATGGAAGTTGCGTAATCTTCTTTGCAGCTTTCACTGCCACCTCACAGGCTTTCATAAACATCCTATAAAATGTTTTTGCGGATTCATCATGAGCCCGGCTCCAAACTCACTCTAGCCATCTCAGCTTCCGCTTCATTCCTCGTACCTCCAGGATATATCAAGGGGCTAGTTTGTTGCAGTGCCAAAGAGGGCATCCGAGTGATGTCTTTGGGGAGTGATCGCATTGATGGTTTCAGAGAGATGGCTGTGCCATTCCTCTACCAGCACATCTAATGTGTCGCCAGGGGGCATTGGATCCCACAGAGCATTCTGCAAACCAGTTGGATCCATCAGTCTCCATGGCTGAGTATAAATCATCTCATCATCTGAGCAGGGAGGTATTGGCATCAATACTCCCTCTAAGTTGTGGAATCTTGTGAGCAAAAATTCTATTTTGTGAGCTACTGGCATTAAAGTCGTGAGCAAGCGATTTGGCTATTGCATAAATTAATTTGCTTTGGAGCCATCCTTCCTGAGCTAGGACAAAAATGTGTGAGCCAGAGGCTAAAAATCATGAGCTAGCTCACACTAACTCAGCTCAGAGGGTACACTGATTGGGATACTCAGCTGAGCCTTCAGGACAAAGTGGTCCAGCCTTGGCACTGCATCAATGGTGTCCAGGTCCACATTTATCCCCATCCCAGAGATCAAATCCAGTATGTTGCTCGCTTCATGCGTGGGAGCTGATACAATTTGAGAGAGTCCCAGTGCTGCCATGGACAATGCTAGGTCTGAAACCTGCAAGGAGGTGGGCTCGTCAGCATGGACATTTAAGTCCCCCAGGACTAAGAGCCTGAGGAACTCCAAGGCCCAGCCCAGTACCTCTGTTGGCATCATGATGGCAGTTAACTAACTCTCTGGACTACACTCCCAGCAATTTCATGTAGGTACTGAATAACATGGGACATAGACTAGAACCTTGGGGAACCCGATAGCATAAATACCGTGAGTCTGAGCAGCTATCCCCCAGAGACAACAAAGCACATTGCAACCAGGACTCGTCCCTGCCACATAGACTAGAACCTTGGGGAACCCGATAACATAAATACTGTGAGTCTGAGCAGCTATCTCTCAGAGACAACAAGGCACATTGCAACCAGGGCTCGTCCCTGCTAACCAGTCCACTGAGCCATGAAGCTGCCTTATACTGAATCAGACCCTTGGTCCAACAGGGTCAGCACTGTCTGCTCAGACTGGCAGTAGCTCTCCATGGTCTTAGGCGGAGGTCTTTCACATCACCTATCACCTGGTTCTTTTTAACTGGAGGTGCCAGGGATTGAACCTGGGACCTTCTGCATGCCAAGCAGAAGCTCTATCACTGAGCCATGGCCGCTCCCAGAATATACCACAGTTAGTGACACTGAAAACTGCTGAGAGGTTCTGCAGAATCATCAGGGTTGCACTCTCTTTGCTTCTTTCCCAGCACAGGTCACCTGCTATGGCAGGGTTCCGCAAAGGCACTCTCCTACTCGATACTGGCAAGTAGGTCTTTCAGCCTGGCAAGTTCATCCAAGACCAGCCCCATATAACCCTAATAACTTTTGTGAATGCATAGAGAATGTCACACTAGCATTTCCACACACTGAGCTTGAGGCTGAGAAGCAGTAGTAGGGAGGGGACCAAGCCACATGCAGCTATATAGCTATGGCTCGCTAAGACAGCAGGCTGTTTGCTGGGGCAGTGGGGGCAGAGCTGGGAAAGGTTCAAGTTTCCCCAGAGAGAGAAGAAAGAGGGAAATGAGGAGCTGAATGGTGTGCCACCCCCTCCCCTCAAAGCTCACCTTCCTGAGCTGGAAGGCTACAGTTCTCTTCTCCCCCACGCCATTGTGAGAAGTCCATTTATTCCTACTTCCTGTCATTTAATCAGCATTTAACCTGTAAGAGGACCTGTACTCTTATTCCATGAGTACTAAGCTTATTCAGGGGTCTTTGGTGAGGTAACTTGTCAACGCCTTTTGGAAGTTCAAGTATATAATACCTACTGAATCACCCTTACCCACAGGCTGATTAACCTTCTCTTAAGAGGTTGGTATAGAAAGTGACAGCTGGCTACTAAGACCAGCCACAATTTGTGAACACCTACGTTGGGGTAACCAAGGCAGTTTCCGTTCCAAAATCAGGCCTGAAATCTGATTGAACTGCATCCAGGTAATCAGTCTCATTCAAGAAAGCCTAGAGGTTTCTAACCACCACTTGCTCAACCATATTGCCCCAAAGAGGGACATTTTCTACTTGGTGATAGTTGGGCCAGACATTTTCTGGATACAAGGAAGCCTCCTAAAAGAGGGGCTTCAAGATTACCCCCTTCAGGGATAGTCCTTCACTGAGGCATTTTAGCACTTTTGAGAGCTATCTGGGCAGTATTCTCCAGCACCCTTGTAGCTGGGGGTTTTTTTTTGTTCATTGCCAGTGGAGCTTCATCCCATTCTCTTCTTGCAGGAGTTCCAGAGAATGACCTTACCAGGCTATGTGCTCAATGCTGAGGGGAATGATTTCTACTATGTTTCCATCAGTCGACTGCATGCCTCAGTAGGTGGGCCCAGCCCTCCAGTGACACTTGCAAGCACCATGACAGGAGGCGGGTGTGATAGCAGCAACAGGACAGAAGACTCCTTGCCTTGTTCCACTCCCCCTGAGGAGGCGCATGGTTCCTGGGCATGGCCAGGAAGTGAAAGCAGGACTGGACTGGAGACAGGAGAATTACTGGGAATGAGTAGCCTGGCGCACGGTGAGGTAGGGCTAAGTAAGGGCATTTGTTTCAGATGAGAAGTGGCAGTGCTCATATTGCAGGGATGATGGCTGGGAAGGGTACCTTCTAGACTGCATTCTCATTTGTGATTAAGCCTTTCTCTATCCCCTTCATTGTGACGCAGCTGTCAGAGGAAGGTTCAAGGCTGGAGCAGGCCAGTACTTTGGAGCGTGGCTCTCTGGATGAGGAGTCTACTTTGACCCAGCCGCAGGCCTTGGTTTCCTCCTCAGAGAATTGGAACAATGATAAATCACCCTCAGCAACACCATCTGTAGCAAGTCTGGCAGACTCTGTGACCACAGGCAGGGGAGGTGAGGAGTTGCCTTCAACTGGATAGTGGAATGGGGACCAGGTGTACAAGAGAGCAGGGTTTGAGATACATGAGATTGTTTGAAATGAGCTTAGACTAATTGAAATCATCTTGCAAACTAAGTGTTTACAATGTGACAAAGAAATTCTTACTATGAAAAAAAATTTTTCCTAGCATTTAAAAAAATTAGGATTTTGGTGGCCATATTACCCAAGTGCTTACATTTTTCCTGTTCCATTCCATGATATACAGCAAGCTGTAATAGTATAGAATAACTAATATGGCAGTTTTAAAAAGTCATTAATTCACAAGGTCACTGTAAGTTGGAAGCAACTTGACAGCACTTTACACACACACACACACAGTGGCTGAATTTTTCATGGCCTTGTGAGCCACAGTGGAACAAGGGCTTCCAGCTGATTGTGACAGACTACGGGTGATTGACGGTCCACCTGAAATGACAAACCAGTATAGATTCTCATCTTTTTGCCAAGACTAGAAAGTTGCAAGTTGGCTGTTTTACTTGTTAGAATACATACCAGGGTTTCAAGTGGATTGTTTTATATTTTGTTTGGAATTTGGCTTATGGTAAAGATCTTCAGAAACTGTTTTCATGCCTGACTAATTGTCAGCCATTTTGTTCTGCTTAGGCCATATATTGAACCTGGGTGAACCCTGGGGGATTAATTTCAGTTTTCTACTCAGCTACTTGATCTATTGCTGCAAGTTTTGCTGAGTTTTTCCATGTGTCTTCTTTCTTTTTAAAATAGTTTTTATTTATTTACTGGTCCACCTTTTGTACAGAGGCTCAATGCAGATATTGTTGGTCTGTGCAATTTTATGTTTTGTTTTGTGCAGTTCATCCACTTGCTATTTTTAATGTTATTCAAGCTCTTCTTTATGTAATGCAGTTCAGAAATTGAAAGGGTCACATTCAAAATGGCAAGTAGCCCTTACTGGTTCTCTCTTTTAATTTGCAAATGCTGTCCGGACCTTAAGGACTGCTTGTTTTCACTCTTATCATTATTCTTAAGACAACAACATTTGCTTTGTTTTATAATGTATACAATTTGCTGTGACTGTATGTTGTAGGAAGCAATGCAAAGACACATTTTAAATTGTTTGTTGAAGAAAAATCTCCCTTTCAGATGTCTGAAGTGTCAGTGTTAAAGCTGGCTGTATTTGCAAAGACTCACCCTTGCCCTTCCTCTCCTAAGGGTGTCTGTTAAAGTGCTTTTCCTTGTTTCTCTGCTTCAGTATTGATTTTTCTGTTATCAAAGCCCTTTTAGTGCAGTTGGGGCCATGAGATCATAAGCGCTAAAGAGGCTGCTGTACTTGATTGCTTCATGACATGAAGTCAGTCTTGTCTAGTTTCTTTTATCAAACAACTCATGCATCAGCTGGAGTAAAAACAACTTTGCGTCAAGCGTGGCATCCTTCTTTTGTAAGCCTATTTGTTGATGTCTGGACTGTAAACTTCCCCCTGAAGGGCTTGAGATGAATCTCTGAATCATAGTAAGGGGATAATTTGTGAACTCAAAATGTCATAGAGGGCAGTTTGTCAGTAGCTTCTGACCTCTCTTCCCTACAGGTTGTGGGAAGCAGCATCCCAGTCGGGTGCAGAGCCTGGTATCCAGTCAGGGTAGTATGGATTCTGATCTCCTTGGTGAGTGGGTGAACTGGATCATCCTTGTGCAGAAACTAAGAGAAAGATGTTTTGTGGGATAGGTACAGTCAGGATTTCATTGACTAAGGCCCTAGGGACTGGCTTTGTATGGAACAAGGGGCTCTCCAAAGGCCTTTTTATCAGCCTTCCATCAGGATAGGTTGGCCAAGCCACTCAAAAGATTGGGTGTGTGTGTATGCATTCCTTTTCTAGGGTACGATGGTGGAAGCAGTGATTCCGAATGCGAGGAGGCAGTGATAAGTGACCTGGAATCCAAGTGCCCTCTCATGCCTGATTTCTGGCTGATCATAAAAATCCACCAAGATCGAGTGGAAGTTTGTTCTCACACACGGTAACAGTCTCTTCTTCTATCCCTTTCCAGTACCCCCTACCAGGGATTCTGATTCTCAAGAGGATGATCATGGCTTTTACACAGGAGGTCTCTCTAACCCCCCCCCTTTACTTCATCTTAGCTAAGGACCACAGCTGGCTTCTGAGCTGTATTGTTGCTTGCTCTGGCCAACTCCTGTGTTAGCTGCTCTGTGACAGTGCAAGTTGTTTTTGCTGTATCTGAAGATTTATTAAAATATTAAATCCAGTCTTTTTTCTTGTGGGTCAAGGCAACTTACAGTTCCAGAAGTTAAACAAAATGCAGCAAAGCCCCATTTACCCTCCTCCGAAAGGAAATGTCTGCAAGTTAAACTCAATTAAAAGCCTTCACAAATAAAACGGCCTTCCAGCATCTCCTAAAAATTTTTTACGGACAGTGCCACCCTCTCCTTCCCTTCTCAAGGATAGGAACAGGGCCTGTACGGAGACCAGCTAGTCTCCTGCCACCCACCCTGTGTCAATAGGTTCTCAATTACTTTCAGTGCTCAGTTTTCAATATATGTCACTACGCTCGGTCTTTGACAGAACAATCCTAAGCAGGTCTACACAGAATCCTACTCAGGTCTGTTCAAGGGGGCTTACTCCCAGTAAGGTGTCCTTAGGATTTCACTGTGAGTCATGTAATAGCAGATGATCATCTTTTTCCTGTACATCTTGTTGTTGACAAACATGGGAGCTTCGCAGGGTTTTCTGACCCTATGAGACTTTTTCTTTTCCTCTTAACACAGCAGCTTGAGTGCAGTGAAAGCAACCCTGAATGAGGAAGGGGAGTGTGTACACCATCACCGTACTGTGGTGAAGAAAGTTGGAGAGATCTGCCGCATTGTTAACCAGGTAACTGTGATACATTCAGGCTATTGCTGTTGTCCCTTTAGATGGCAGAAGTATCTTCCTACTAGTTCTCAGCATGAGTATGGTCACCAGAGCCCAAGAAAAGAGAAGAGTGCAGGTGAAACAATCTGTAGCCAGCAAAGTCAAATTCTGCCATGTCACTGCAAGCAAAGTAAATTAAGAATTATGCACATAATATCTGAGAAACTGTAATGAGATCTATTTTAATCTTGGAGCTTTTGAACAGACACGGATTTGTCTTTTGACCTTAATCAAGAGAACTGGGAAACTGACATTTTTATGTGGAAATTTAAGGCTTCCTGGTGCTGGGTAAAGGTACTCAATTTTGTGCAGTTACAGCCATCTAGGCTCTAACATAAGGCAAGTATAGTTTCAGACTTTGCCTTATAAGTTGTGCCAGCACTACCAAGCAGCAGAGATGGTGGCCAGGTCGACCTATGTAAGGAAGCATTCCATTCCATCATTGCTGTTCTCTTTCTTTGTCTGTAGCGGCTGTTGCTACAGGATCTGCACGATAGCCACATTTGCAATTCTCTGTTGGTCGCTGAGAGTGAGGAGGACATCTGGAAAAGTGAGACACCGTATACGTACCGGCAACGCACTGGGCCTGATGGTAAGAGCTTTGAGCAATATCTGTATTCAAAATATACTATTTATATCATCATGGCTTCTGTGCAGTCCTATATGGAACTATGCACGCACAGACCAGCCACAGAGAGGGGTTCTCCAGCTTCCTAGCGCTTTCCAAGCTGCAGGAGCACTCCTCCCCCTCCTGTCCAGAGCTGGCATTTCCCGCCCAAATTGGTATGTGACAGGAGCTCCTCCCTCAGTTTTCTCTTCACTGCCCTGAGGAGAAGTTCTTTCTCTAAGTGTTCCTTGTCTGGTGCTTCTTCATCAGTTTTTTCCTGGTATTTAGCCTATTTTTTTAGCATCACCTTCGCTTTCAATTGTTGAGGGGGGATAGCTTTGTTTTAAAAGCCTAATCGGATGACAAAATGCTTGAGGTTCCATCTCCACTGCTGGCCTTGGTTCCACCTAGGGCCAAAGGCCCTATCATCGGAGTTGGATACAGCATCAGCGCAACCATATCAGTGGGGCCCCTCACAAGCACCTTGTTTTGTTTGCACCCCATGTTCTTACCTCAGTGAGTTCCTTGAGATCAACAGAATCCTTGGCAGCAGCCATAACAATGGGGTATGCCTCCAAAAGCCGATGGATCCGAGCAACGTCTAGTTCCATAAGCATCAGGCTCGCCCTCTGTCATCCTTGGAACCATGCAACTTGGACTCAAAAGAGGCCATGGTTGTGACCTGCACTATCAGTTTCACCCCCAGATGACACCCTCGGTTCTCACTTGCCCATCTCACCTATGGAGGACCTCATAATGTATTCTGAACACCTCTTGAGGATGGGTAAAGCCTTGGACCTAGATGTTGTGTCTTTGGATCCAAAGGCAACGGATCCTGTCCTAAAGGTCCTATATACGGGCCCTGTGGCCTTTCCCATACTTAAGGGTCTGGTTGACATTTCCAGTAGAATTTGGTTAAAGCCAGTGTCCATCCTCGCTGCTGCTAAAAAGCTGAAGAACTTATATGAGATAGATGGATGGCAAGTTTCTGGTTCAGCATCCCCTGGCAAATTCTGTAGTGGTGACGATGCTTTCCTCCAAGCAGAGGGCAGGTGCTCAAGCCTTATCTCTGGACAAAGAAGGGTGCAAACTGGATGGATTGGGGAGGAAGGTCTACACATCTGGTGCTAGGATCTCAGGATCCATCAGTGGCTATTAGCCACAAGGTATAGATAGGAACCCTGGGGCAAGTGATGCTCTGTATTCTTGGTGCTTGGGAGGGGGGGCAACAGTGGGAGGGCTTCTAGTGTCCTGGCCCCACTGCTGGACCTCCTCATGGCACCTGGTATTTTTAGCCACTTTGTGACAGAGTGTTGGACTGGATGGACCATTCGCCTGATCCAACTTTGGCTTCTCTTATGTTCTCTTATGTTATGTTCACTAATTTTATGGTGATAATGGGGAGATACCAAATGTTCCTCTGGGAGTGGATGGTACAGTACCTTGACCTCCTCCCTAATGATAGGAAATCTTTGGCCAAGGTCCTCTATGCAGAGGATGTGAAGCTTGGCAAACAACAGCTAAATGTCTCCCACCATACCTTTGATTGTTGAGCCAGGGCCATAGCATTGTTCTTTGCAGGCATTCATGGCTCAGGTCATCCACCCTGCCCAATGATAAGCAGGGCCAGAGTGGAAAACCTGCCCTTTGAGGGCAAAAAGCTTTACAGTACGCAGACAGACAGCATCCTAGAGAGAATGTGCAAAAATAAGCTCACTGCAAAATCCTTAGGGCTGACAGCAGCTTCACCTTCTTCTGGGAGGCCAAGGTATTTCCCTTGGCACTCTTCTCAGTATGGCAGGCCCTACCGTTACCAGCCCACCCATCAGCCACAGCAGCCGTATCTCCCTTCATACCCCCAGCAGCACCAAAGCAGGGAACAGCAGGGGAAACAGCATCCTAGCCTCTCTTGGGAACAACCTAGCAGAGGAAAATCCTTCATGTGACTAGCCAACATAGCCCTCTTTGCTAATAGGTTGTCTCACTTCATTCATGGTTATTCCTCTATCACTGAGGATAGCTGGGTGTTGTCTATAGTGGACAAAGGTTATTTTCTTGAGTTCATTTCTACTCCCACCTTTAGTCACCTGCACTGTTTCCTCCCGAGTCACCTCCCCCTGGAAAAAGGACCATCAGACAGGTTTCATTTGCAGGACGCAACCAGGGGTTTGACTTGAGGTACTTCCTTATTTAAAAAAGGGATGGCAGAATGAGACCCATTTTGGATTTAAGGGGCTTGAATAAAATGTTAAGAGTTGCGAAGGGCAGAATGATATCCTTGCAAAATGTTCATCAAATGGTCTTCCATGCAGGCTCATATCCCGCCCTCCTGTCCCCCATGTCGGCTGCTCTGTGTAATGAGCCACACTCTCACAGTGGCAAATGGAGGACTGAGTGAGGAGCACTCCCCCCCCCCCCGTCACATGCCAGTGTGGGCAGGAAATGCTGGTAGCAGGCTGGGAAGGTCTAGAAAGCGGGAGAACTCTCTGTGGCTGGCCTGTGCATGCACAGTCCCATGTGTGCCAGCACAGAAGACCATTCAAGGAACAGCAGTTACAGGTAAGTGTAACCTTGTTTTTCTTGCCAGCATGCTGAACCTCACAGCTCAACATCTCTGCCCTTCCCCCCACCACTATGGCATAGCAGTGTCCTCATGTCCTTTCTGGTGACACTGGAGAGGCAGGCACCCTACAAACCACGGAAGCAAATTCTCTGGTTTCTTTTTGGTCATGACCTGGTAGTATCTTCTGTAGTGACCCCTGGAGAACCCTTTCCATTGCCCTGTGAGCAGTGATGTGCTACAACACCTCTCACCACAGGACCAGTAGGTTCCTTTGTCAGGGTACTTAAGAGACCTTTATTTCTTGAGCATGAAGGAAGAAAGGCAGATGGCAAGGCAGTCTCTGTGCTAAATGGGTGAGCTGACAGTTAGATCTATCTTTGGAGAACTTGCACATTGACTATCCTTTTTCTCTGTCCAGATTACCCTGGAGAGGAAAGCTACCAGCCTCGTGACTACCTGGCAGCCACCATGCAATTCATGCCTGGACACTTTGCGTGTGATGCAGTCTGGAGCACCATTATCCATGTACACTCGCGGCTCAAGATGGGGCCCAACATGGGTGTTGCGCGTGGTGGGTGACTCAATGCAGGCAACACTTCCTAGTAGGAAGGATTACAGGGACCCTCTAGGGAACTCTCCTCTGTTCCCAGGCGGCAAGTTCTGCCCTGTCGTAGTGCCTCCTTGGCTGCAGCCTGTTGGTGACACAAGTAATTGCTAGAAGTATAGTGAGAGCTGGATTAGCAAAAGGGGTCAAGTCTGGCTATGAGGAAGGACTAAATTGGAATACTGGCTAGGCAGCACTGCTGTAAACTCCTTAGAGAAAGGATGAGATAATGGATTAAATGAGCCAGACTAATAAACTCATGTTATCAAAGAGAAGCAATTTTATCAAGAAAGTAAAGCAAGCTTTATTATAAACTCTATGCAGTGTAGCCATTTATTAGAGGCCTAGGTGGTTCTCTCCTTGCAGGCTGAAAAAGCTGTGTAAAAACTGCTTTTAAGACCTCTGCCTAAAAATTTAAGTAACCCCCCCCCCCAAAAAAAGCACTAGATACTATTTGTAAGTAGCCCATTTGAAACAAATAATTTTTCCCAGTGCTTTAGTTTAAAATATATGTGGATTTGATATTTTTATTGAATATATCTGATACCCATTTTATGAAAAACTTCATAGGCTTATTATTATGACATCAATAAGAGAGTATGGACAGTGGTCAGAGCCAGTTGTGAAAATAAGCTGAATTAATGTTAGAGATGCAGCACTGAAGGCAGCATTTGTGTTGGAGCTACCTGTGGGTGGGATGTTGGGCCAGCCCTTGTGGTAGTTAGCTGTTTCTCTCTTTCCTGCAGCCATCCAAGCCCTGCGCTCTGTGCTCAATGCCTTCTCAGTTGTTAACAGGAAGAATATGTTTGTTTATCAGGAGCGCTCAACCAAGTCTGTTTTCTACTTGCGGTAAGAGTTGCAGTGCCCTGGCATAGCTGCTTCCATTGTGAGTTCCCAAAGCTAAGACATGCTTCTATCTCTCAGTTCCCACACCATAAGCAGAGGAGACACAGTCCCTTTATCTCCTCTGCTGCTGATTCAGTGGAGCCTCTGAGATAGTCTTAAGCTCAGCACCTTGATTTACCTT